CAAAGTCCTTGCATGCTTAATTTTGAAGGTTTTCTCTAACAAGTATTAGATCGTGTCTAAATTCAGTTTATCCACCCTATAGAGAGGCGTATTCAAAGTGGTAATATAGGGTTGATTAGATTGTCATCCCTGTAATTTTCAAAGGATTTATCCCCGATGTTTGTATAAGAGTACTTACAATTAAAGATTTGGTCCTTCTGACCCCCTCATTACCCTCCGTTACATGTGAGTGACCTAATTGTTAGAACCCATGCTCTATTGTAGTCACTTTGATGCCTAATCAGAGCTCCCCACCATTGCTAGGGTTTCCATGTTCATGAGGGGAGAGGAGGGAAAGAGGGGAAGAAAGAAGTATGAAATGTGAAATGAAAATGACATAAGGTTTCAATATGTAATAGGTACAAGGTAATTAAAGGTCCTGTTATTTGGGTCAGATCTAGATTATCCAGCCCGAATCTTAATACATTTTCCAACATTCTCTATCAAGCCGGTGAATAGATGTTTTCCAATCCCAACTCAGAAGAAAAACGTTAGAAGATAGGTTTGCTCAAATCCATTGATTAATGTTTGCCAATAGATTATGACTGAACATAAGGCATACATATGATATTGCTACCTAGTTTTTCTTTAATGAAGTGACGATCTATTTTCACATTCTTAGAGTTGTCGTGTTGTATTGAATTATGTGTGATGCTGATGGTTGATTTATTGTCTCAAACTAATTTAATTGGTTCTTGCCATTTGATCTTCAAGTCTTCTAAGATTCTCTTTATCTTAAGTATTTCACATATTTCGTGTGCTATCACTCAAATTCAAACTCAACACTAGATCTTAATATCACTTGTTGTTTCTTGTTGCACAATGCAACAAGATTGCTTCCCAAAAGAGTGTAATATTTTGAGGTAGATCATTGATCAATAATGGAGCCTACATAATCTGCATCAGTGTGCACTTCTAAATTTAAATTTTTACTTTTCTTAAAGAGAATACCTTTACCCATAGTATTCTTTTAAGTACTATAATGCTCTGTCGACTACATTCAACTGACTTCTCTATGACAATACATAAATTGATTAAGTATACTAACAATATAAGAGATATTAGGTATAGTACAAGAAAGATAAATTAAATTTTCAAGTAGTCTTTGATATGAATGTATGCCTATCAGATTACTTTTTTTTGTATTGTTAAGTTTATGATTTAGGACTATCTATGTACTCATAGGTTTACTTTCTAAATTTTCAGTATTCCTTAGAAGATCTACAATGTATTTTTGTTGTGATATAAAATACCCTATTTTAAGTAGGCCACCTCAAGATTGAGAAAACACTTCAATTTTCTTATAGTTTTGATGTCAAATTCTTTGAGTAAACACCTCCTTAGGTGCTCATTTTCATTCTCATCATTTTCTATCACTAATAAATCATCCACATATTGAGAGGGTTGTAATTCTTCATGAATATGAGTGTTTAATAAATAAAGTATGAGCTCTGTTACTTTATTTATATCCTAACATATGTATTTGGTAAATTTCCTAAACAATGCTTGTAGTGATTACTTGAGACCATAAAATGCCTTTTTTAGCTTACATACGATTCTTTGATTCTTTCTTTTTTCATGTATTTCTTGTTTTAATTATCCATGTAAAAGCTTATTTTTTACATCAAATTATTGAATCTCCTAACTATAATGCATTGACAAAAACATTAAAATGCTTACTATATTTGTTTTTACAACATGAGCAAAAGTATCAAGATAATCTTATACCATACATTTAAGTGTACCTTTTGGTTACTATTCTAGCTTTATATCTTTCTAAACTATCATCTAGCTTATATGTTATGGTGGAAATGCTTTTACATTAGTCAATTTTCTTCCCTTAAAGGAGTCTAATTAGTTCCCAAGTTTGATTTTTTTTAATGTTCTCATTTCCTCATCCATAGTATTCTTCTATTATATAATTTGCAAGGCATCTAAAGTATTGGATGGAAGAGTAACAGTGTTAAGTGAGGTAAGAAAAGTTTGATATCTAAGAGATAAAGTTTTATATAATATAAAATTAGAAATTTGAAATGTAGGATTCCTAAAACATTTCATTTTCTCTTTTCTTAGAGCTATTGGTAGGTTTTCTTCTATAGAAGGTTAACTATGTGAGGATCAAGATTCTATATTATTTTTCTCTTCATGATAAGCTTCTGTAGTCTCTCTAAATTATTCTGATTTATTTAGGAATTTTGATTAATCTTGAGGATTCATTAGATAATCCTTAAAAGTTATGGCTGTGTTGGATAATTCAAGTGGTAATACATAATTATCACCACTTTCATTCTATTTACTTAAAATTTCAACCTCCTTTGTATTAGTTAATTCATCAAAGTAAGATTCATATTCATTAAAAGTAACATTTATTGAAATACAATTTTCTATGAATGGGAGTGATAACATTTGTATCATCTTTTTATATTTGAGTAACCCACAAAGATGTATTTATGTGCTTGTAGACCAAGTTTTGCCTTTGTTTTGTTCTTGGTTGTGTAACATAACGTACATATTCAAAGACTATAGGAATTAAATTACTTTTAAATTGTATGTATGGATATAAAGATGTAAGAGTGTCTAGTAGACTCTTAAAGTTTATGATACTTATTGGTAATTTATTAATAAGTTGTGATATAGTTAAAACAACCTCCCCCCAAAAAGATTAGGTATCTTACTTTGAAGTAAAAGTGATTGTGTCACTTTTAAGATGTGTTGATTTTTTATTTCTATCACTTTATTTTGTTGTGGAGTGTTTACACATGAGGACTTATATATAATTCTTTTCTTTTGAAAAAATTATTTGAATACTTGATTTAGTCAATAGTATTATTTGACTTAAATTTCATTATAATAGTACCATATTGATTTTTTGCTAAGAAATAAAAATATTATACAATTTTACTAATTTCTTATTTATAAGACATCAAATAAATCCATATCATTCTCGAAAAATCATCAATAAAGAGTACAAATCATTTTGATCTTGAAATAGTAAGGATAGTGTTTGACCCCAACACATCACTATAAATTAAATAAAATAGAGTATTACTCCTTGTACTACTAGTTGGAAGAGATATTTACTTATGTTTTATAAATTCACAAGTTTCACATTTTAATTTGTCCAAATCACACTTTAGAACTAAGAGAAAAATATCATATTCATCATTTTATGACTTGAATGTCTAAGTCGGCAATGATACAATAAAAAATTCTTGATCATAGTCAAGGCAAAAGTCATAGATCTTTATGATGGTTATCCTCTTGGCTGCTCCAAGGTGGTAACTGTCCCATACATACATTAACACATTCAATCCTCTTGCTCGTGACCTTGTTATGTCCACCATAAAAATTACTATCAACTATTACTCTACATGTAATATTATGAATTAATTTTTTAATAGAAATAAGATTAGTAGAGAGCTTAGAGATGTAGATAACATTTATACCCACTAGTTCAATTTTTATATCTCTTAAACAAACACTAGTGATAAATAATTCATTAGTTATTATTACCTTTATAATTCTCGGATAAATGTTGCATGACAAGAAATAGTATAATGAGTTAGTCATATGATATGTGGCTCTTGTGTCTAAAATACATGTCTTACTTGACTGATGCAAAGACTTAAGTATCACAATTGATTTCAAGTTTTCGATCTTAGTCTTAAGACTCTCCATATCATATGAGTTATTCCTTATAGAGGAAGGGGTTGTCACAAATGCTTCTAATGGTTAGAAAGTGAAAAAGTGAGCTAGGCCACTTGATGGAGGCCTTCCACAGACTTGGCCACTTGTTTTTAGTCACCCATGGAATTTGTAACACATTTTTTCAGTATGTTTTGACCATTTGTAGTAGGTGCACCACAAGTTATCTTTATAATCACCTTTCTTCCCTTAGGGATGGTGGATGTTCACTTTCATCTTTTTATTACATTATGATTGCAGAATTATTAGTATTTTTTTTGTTTCATCATTAAGTTTCTTTTGCTTTCTTCATTTCTAATTATTACAATGACTTCTTCAAGACCTAATACTTGATCTCTATCCTAAATGTCAAGCTTTGGTCTGATCATATTCAACATTGAAACCACTTAGGAACTTTTTCAATATATATTTTTGAAAAATATACTATCATTAAGATATTCCAACTCATGTATGTCAAATTGCATCCACAAATATTCCAACTCATTAGGATATTCCCTTACTGATCTATTTCTTTGTCACAAACATAGCCTTTATTATGACTCCAAATATTTTAGTATCATCCTCCTATGAAAAAGTTTTACTTATTTTTTCTAAAATTTTTTTGTGGTCGGCAGAAATAGATAATTTGTATTACTTTCTAGCATCATTGTATGCCACAATCATGTTTTTATGATGCCATCTTCCTCTTTCCATAACTTGTATTGTGAGTCTTTTTGTAAAGAGACAGATCCATGAATACAATTTAATTTTTCTTTTCTTGTAAAAAAAAACTGTTTTAAATTCACTCTATTGTAAAATATTTTTTCCATCTAACTTAAATTGATTTTAGACATTTAGCAGTGCTAAATACAATTTATAGAACTCTATTGATTTAGATGCAAATGAGGATAATATTAGAGTCACATTGGCATTGCGCTCTCACCTTCCATAAGAAAATTTGAGGCCTAATTGAGGTGTAACATGGTCAAATAACTAATATTAGTTCCTCCTAATGCAATATAAAGTTGTTCTTTATTCTCAATGAATAAGAGAAGGTACAAATAGGGTAATGGGAATCAATCTAACAAATAAATGGTGAGAAGCTGATTTCTCGCAACAAGAAAAAAAGGCTTAAATGAAAGAAGTAACTTCTAAGGCATGGTGATAGAGATATTATAGTAAATCATGAGATTTCACCTAATAGATTATTCGAATGGTCAATACAGAGTGAAATAGGCACACTTGGTTGATTTTGATACCATATTAGAACATGTGCTATGATGTAGTCACTTTGATCCTTGATCCAAGCTCTCCACTATCGTGAGGATTTCTACATTTGTGAGGGAAAAGAAAAGAGAGAAGGACAAATGTGAAATAAAAAAGAACAATAGGTCATTTTCTTATTTGAATTTAGATTATTTGAAATGTGAGGGTTTCCACATTTGTGTTTTTTTGTTTGAGTCAGATCTAGATTATCTAACCTAAATCTTAATACATTCTCCAACACTAGTTAGATTATCCACTTTATACACAATTAAAAACTGTTGCAGAAAAATGTAGAGATCTATGTTCAATATTGCCCTTGCAAATGTAGATTTTATTCTTAATATATTCACCTCTTTTAATTATAATTCCATCTGGGCTTTTATGCGTTAGTTCACTTGGTTTATGGGTGCCTTTTTTTTACAATCTAATATGTAGTTCATATATATGTGCATTCCAGAGTATTCACCTAATTGAATATATTTTTATGGACCACATTCTTAAAAGATTTGAATTATTTCATATTAGAATTTAAAAAATCACTATACTTTCCTATATCTAAGGGAATGTAATATGATTGAATTTATCTTCAGAAGATACATTTTCCAACTTTTAATATACTACTATTTTCATGATTTTACGAATTAATTAGGATTTTAGTTACGATATTTAATATAATATAACCTTTTAAGGACATTATAAAATTATTATTATTATGTTTTAAAATAATTATAATAAAATTAAAATTCCCTAACATTTCGATTTTAGTACAAAATGCGGCGTTTCAAATCCAAAAGTAGCGTTCATCATTTTTAAATAGTCAAGTAAACTCACCAGCCAATGTGGAAGCACCAGCACCATACTCTCTCTCTCTCTCTCTCTCCTTCCCTCCTATGTGCATTATACGTTGATGCCGCTATTGTTTTTCTTCACGAAAATTATTAAAACCAGGATGTTATTTATTGCTGGCACCATGTTGTACAGCATTTATTTCCTGGCTTTTGGAGGATGGGGAAGGGAGGGTGTCAGGCCCTTCAACATGTGCGGAGAAAGCTGCTGCAGAAAACATGTGTCGGCGTTCTGCTCCCTATCGAGCAGACGATGATCTCGAGGAAAATCCCCCCGCCTCGGCCGCCTAATCTTTACCGGTATCTTCGTTCTTCATCTCCTTCTTCGCCTTCTCCTCCCAGGGAGCAGAGTCGGAATCTCCTGACGAGGCATATCGAGCCAATGGACTGACGAGAGAGAGAGAGAGAGTGGAAGAGGGAGAGGGAGGGACAGTGAGACAGGTAACTGACTGACAAAGATGGCCTACATGGAGAGCTACGGCGGTGGCGTATAAGCAGAACCATCCACAGGACCCAACGCCTAGTCAAATCCCAGCTCCTAAAATCCACTCTCGAGGCCCCACCCGCCCCGTCTCTGACGGCCTCTCCTCCGGTTTCTCTCTCTTCTGCATCACCACTTTCGACAAAGAGAAAGAGAGAAAGAAAGAGCGAGCGAGAGAGAGAGAGAGTCTTTATAAACGGGTTGAACCTTGGGAGCCCATTTGTCTACATGCTTTGGACCACACGCGTGTTCCATTCTGGAACGATTGTCTTCCAGAGCTTCTTCTCCCCATGCCCCCACCGTTTCCTTTACGGCAAGATCCCTTGCGTTGGGTGAAGCGTTTTACAGTAGCGTTCCTCGATCCATGTCCCTTCTTCTTCAGGAAAGGTGATCCCATCCATCATCTCTTCTCTCTCCTCTCTCTCCTCTCTCTCTCTCTCTGTGCAACTACCCAACGCTTGTTTACAAGAGAGTCATGGGGACAGTCTCTGACTAGGAGCACTTCGGTGTCAACGCTCTCCAAACTGCCATGTATGCTCGTTCCCCTTATTTGCTCATCACGAGCCTTACATGTGGGGAAGAGGTTTGCGTCATGTAGCCAAGGATGACTTGCCGGCCCTCTCTCTATGTCTCTCTCTCTCTCTCTCTCACACGCACATATTAATGTGGAAGTGAGAGTCGGCTGGCTCGTTATCTTTGGCTACATATTTCCCTCTTCCTCTCATGCTAGACTTGATGATGGTGAATCAAACCACTCTAAACAGGAGCCCACCGTGATATCTCGTATAGGAAGCTGCCCTACTTCTGAGAGATGACGCCAAGCCTACTTCGTCCCATGCACGCACCTTCTCATCAGAGGATGTGCCAGGTATCGTCTCTCTCTCTCTCTCTCTCTCTCTCTTTTACGGCTATGGGCCTTGGAGTCCACTCCTAGGGTTTGCAGGGGTTGGCAGTTCGGGGCATTCATAGCCCTGTACAGAACCTATTTGATTACACAAAATTAGCCGTGATATTGAGTTGACGCATCTTTCGCAGTTGGATCAGTTTATGTTGGACGGTGACCTTGACTCCATGATCAGGATCAGCAGTTCTGCCTGGTCAACGGAGTTGCAAGTGGGTTCATATTCTTCACCAAAAATATGGAAACCGAGAAACATCTGAGCCCTGTAAATATTTCCGGATATTGGAAATAAGTGGGATTACGATAATGCAAATAAGTAAATGCGAAATCCAATTAATTTATTTTAATACCAATTATACACACATTTATTGTGCTGGTCGTACTTTAAATAATATTATATTTTACATATTTTATTTTTAAAATCTGCAAAAAGAATCACACCCGTTGGTTGCCTCCTACAGATGAACATCCACGTTTCCCAGATTAAAATAGATAAAATAAAACCCAGGCTCAATTAAAAGTGCGAACCATGAACATCTGATTTTAAATCAGCGGAGAATCTCTGTAAATACTAAGCTTTCCTATGCAAAGATCAAACAAATGAGAGATCCAGCTTGTCAAGAACGCACTGGCGAAGCATGTAAGACCACGCCCCAATAAAAACCTTCGCGAAATATGGAGTAGCTTAGACTCGGTCTGATTTCCTATATACAACAAACACAAGGGGGAGAGAGAGAGAGATGATCATGAGACAGGCAGATAGCGCAAAAGATGGGAGGCCAACTCCTCTCATGCCCTGAACACCTCCCAAGGTTGATGGGCCTATGAACCCAGTCAATTTTCAGATAATGTCCAAAGTTTCTCGAAACAATAAGCACAAAAAACAGCTGTAGCCTCATCATCCCCATTGTAAAATTGATGAGATGTTGTTCATGAACCCAGAACATCATTCACGAGGTATGCAGGAGTTTTGAGTTTCCCGTAGGAGAGAAGAAACCACAGTCATCCCTCATCTGTGGTAGATTCGGTCAAATAACTCGATTGATCAAATGGTAATCGATGCATCAACGAGGCAAGAATCCATGCTCCGCGATGGCGATCTCAAAAGCCCGCATCCTCTCCCCTCTAGCGAATCCGTTCCGATCGTAGGATGATATCTCAGAGATCTTCAACTCTGAGCAGGCCTTGATGACCACTTCACCGACCCTTTGAGCAGCGTCCTGCTCCTCACAAAGCATTAAGCAAGAGAGATGGATTCCAAATGAGAACATGTTTGAACAGAGGGGACCCTATTAATTACTCTTTTGATTGGTTAATTAAGACCACATAAGTCAAGAGTCTGCGTCCCAGCATTAATCATCTGTTAAATTGTAAGCAGATGAAAGCAATCCAAACCGATTCAGTATCTTTTTTTTCTTTTTTTTTTCTTGGTTCTTTCAAGTGAGTGGACTAGCAAAACGACGAAATTTGGAAACACCAAGTCAGAGGGTTGACAGCCGGCTTCTAATCGTAATCTATAACTGAGAGTGGACTTTTTCAAGTCATGTGAGATCATCATGGATAATTCGGTGTGAAAGATATTTGGTAACATTTAACACGGGATTAAACAAACAGATGAGAATAGGAAGCACATGGAGAGAGATCTTACAATAGTGGAGCAGTCTGGGCTGCCGCGAATGCTCTTCTGGAGAGTGCTCGCATAGAACAGGGTCTTCTTATTCTGGTCATCAATCAGCATTGCATATAGTTGGCTTGAGGAGCAGAAGACCGAGAGCCTTGGCTTAGTGGGAGTGCCATTTTGCTGTTCAGATAAAGAAAAATATCAGAAAAATTCGCACAGCATAGAACAATAATATGTTTAAATTAATGGCAGGACTACACCGCTGAATTGGAGTATTAAGACCAAGATAACCCGTTCAAGAAAGGAAGAAATATCTACAAATAAACGGCAAGAGGCGCCTTTCTGATGAGCCACCTGAAGTTGTGAATGACATTTGTGGCGACTTCTCCAAAGTCACGGACCCGAATTCAGGATCATATTTTTTTATTTTTATTTTTTCCTGATGATGACTACAATTAAAATACACTTCCTTGGACTGTGATTAGAACCGCGCTTTCGATCCTCAGAGAGATCACCAATTGTAGGATAATCATGAACTATCATTCAGCATAATCCCCTCTCTCTCTCCCTCCTGACTCATTCTATCCGCCCCTCCCCGCCGACTACTGATATTCCCAACAAAAACTGTCATTTTTGGCAAAAAAATCGTCCACTGTCGTTCGGGTTGTCCGCTGATGACTGTGATTTAGATATCAGCACCTCACACGGAAGGGTGGATCGTCCAGGATTTACCTTCTTCTGAAGCCTACGGTTTCTGACCTTGGCGCTCTCCTTCCTAGGGCTCGCTTTGGCCTCCACTCTTATGTAGCGCCTAGGAGCACAGCGATTCCAACCGGGGACGCCGACGAGACCTTGCCAGGAGCCACCGAGTATCAAGCCATTGGTACCGCTGCGGCAGCCTACGCACGGTGGGGCGAGAGTATGTAGTGAGGGAAGCACAGAAGGCGCCATGGCCAGGGAGAAACTCAGAACCTAGACTTTGTTCGAACAAGCTCTCTTATTCGAATTCTGTCGAGCAAGTTATGTGCACGATCTAGCCACCTACGATTGCTGCCATGGGAACCTTCTGCAAGTGCGGACTGGAGAAAATCCTCCGCCTTCATTTTCCATCCTCCGCCCTAATTTCCTGTCCCAGACCTCTACAACGGCTCCCCGGCGCGAGCGAGCAACGGCGAGAGAGAGAGCGAGAGAGAGAGAGAGAGAAAGAGGGAGAGAAGAGGGAGGGGTTATTACAGACGCTTCAGCCTTTGAGGCCCAAATTAGGCCCATAACGGATGTTACTAGGCTTAACATTATGGGTCTTGCGATCTCTAAGCCCAAGATGACTCATCGGGCTGTCCACGTCGGCATTTCACGTGGCTGTTTACATGGCTCCCCACGTTGACCTTTTTCTGGGAATCTTGCTTCAAGGCCCCAGATCTAAACATAATCATCATATTCTAGGGTTTATGTTGCCAGTTAATTAGGCACATTTTCAAGGAAAAACTCGACGAGAAAAGTCAACGTCGTGGACCAGAAGTCTACGGCGTAGCTCACCGAGTCTGCCGAAAACCCCATTGTTGACCTCCGCAGGGAAGAAAGGGTTGCAAACCAACTCTCGTCCGGTTTCACAAATGAGATCCACATCCACTGTAACTTGCAGGAGAAGACGGTCGTCTCCGGTAGGGTACCGGAGACGGCGGCGACCGGTGATATCACCGGCATGCCACTCCGCCTACCTCCACCAACTTAGCCTTCCCCGATCCTCCATCCTGACCGAATCCGCCCTCAGTTTTTATCTCCCGTCGTCTCCGCTTCAACGGTCATCGATCTGTAGGATGATGGTGGCGCGTGGGGGAGCTCAGCGGCAGCAGCGGCTGCCCTGATGATGGCGCTGACAGCCGGGATAGGCGGCGGACTTGTCTCCGGCGCCGTCGTTCAGTTCATCTTCGGGGACTCCCTCATCGACGTCGGGAACAACAACTACCTCAGCAAGAGCCTCGCTAGGGCGACGCTGCCCTGGTACGGCATCGACTTCGGCAATGGCCTTCCCAACGGGAGATTCAGCAACGGCCGCACAGTCTCTGATATCGTCGGTAGGTCAGCGGCTTCTTCTTCTTCCTCCGGCGAGATCTTCGGTCGGTTAACCTAACGGGCGGCGGCGAGTTGCAGGGGACATGATGGGCCTCCCGCGGCCGCCGGCGTTCCTCGACCCCGCCGTCAACGAGGACGTCATACTGGCCAGCGGGTTGAACTACGCTTCCGGCGGTGCTGGCATCCTCAATGAGACATCCTCATTTTTCGTACCTTCAAAACCCTAAGAAGCTCCCTCATCTTTTCTCCTTTTTCCTCTCGCTTACTCTCTCCCTCTGTGTTGTGCAGATCCAGAGATTGTCTCTGTACAAGCAGATCGAGCTGTTTCAGGGGACGCAGACGATCATCGGGAGGAAGATCGGCGGCGAGGCGGCGCAGAAGTTCTTCAAGGAAGCACGATATGTTGTCTCGCTGGGGAGCAACGACTTCATCAATAATTTCCTGATGCCGTTCGGATTTCTTGATAGGTCATCCTTACGTAGAGCTTGCTGTGGGAAGCTGAGTTCATGAAGAGTGAGAATCCTTCATCTCTCATCACCATCCACTAACTCTAGATTTTTCTGGTTTCCCTTGAGTCTATATATGATGTGGGACAAAATGGACACATGCTAAATTACCCTAGTAAGTAAATCTAAAGTTACCTTCACATTAAACCTAATTAGTCAAGTTAGGTAAATTAAGTGGATCAGGTGAATCCCACAAAGATTTGAATAGCAAGGATGATGCGATCAAATAATCGTCAAGATTATGCTACCCAACTTCAATAAATCGTTTAGATGCAAATTACGTGGGTCCTCACTTCACTTAAGACACTAGATCAGAAACTTAGTGGATCAAACTATGAGAAATGTGAGAACAAAATCATAAGAAGAGATACTAAATATCAATTAATCAATCAGGAAGAAGAATAATTCATATATTGCCATGTCACCTAGTTGGGTCAATGATTAGCAAAGGGCTCCTATTATTGTTGAATCTAATGAGGGTTGAAATTAATCTCAATATAGATAATGATAAATATGAATTGTATATTATGGGGCTATCATTGAATTAATCTTGCTGAAAATGATTCATTAAAGTTTAAGTATTTAGGATTATGACCTCTCTCATAAGTATGATGGGCTAAATTGAAAAAAGACACCAAGAGGCTAACTATCGCTTAGAGTGGGTCACACATCGTGAGTCACTCTTAGAGTATCCCATCTCTCTAAAGTAAGTCATTGGACGACTCCTTTGTGTTGATTTAAAAGGCCATGCTCGTACTTACGTCTTCATGAATTTAGGTACGATTTTAATCCATTCTCTTTATATTTTTGTCATTTTCCATCAACATCAACACAAGATCCTTCAGATTCAACAAGTAGTATCAGAGCCAAATGTGTTGATTTTTTGGAGAATGACCTTTGTTCATTGATTTTCGTTTATCATGGTTATACCTTGTCTTGAGAATAAATTCAGGCGTCCATCGTGGAAATCGTAAGGCTTCGATCTTAGCATGGAATGGATGGGCCGAACAGGCCGTCCAAATGGGTCTGTCGACTCTTCTTCTTTCTCTACAGAGGAGGAGGAGCGGTGGTTTCCGCACACCTTTCTTCCTCTCCTTTCTCAAAGGAAGATTTCCATTTGGAAATCGTGAGCTGCAGGAGGGCCCCAGCCATACCCCTTTCCCCTTTCCGTCGTCGGACGGGAGGCTGGAGAGCAGTGGACGGCACTTCTGGAAGGCATGGACGTTGTAGGGCTCCGATAGGCGAAGAAGAGGCGCAGGCCGGCGCCAGAGGATTCCGAAAGGATCTGCCGGAGGCGGAGGGCTGCGGCAGCTTCCGCACGCCCCTAATCACCTCGGTTCTTCCTCTTCCTCTCGCCGAAGGATGATTTTTGAGCCTTCCGGAAATCGGCGGGAATGAGGAAGACGTGGAGGGGAGGGGCAAAAGATGCGGCTCTGTTTTTCGAATGGGAAGGCCATTTTTGGGCCGACCGTTCCCGACCCTAATTTTTTCTCCCTTCGTGCGACGGTTTGTGCGCCGCTCCGCCGCGTGAAACGGCCACACTGTTTTTCGGTGCGTGTCGGACGGGAGAGGAACCGTCACGCTACGTTTCAGGCACCGGCTTCCGGTTCATCGCATGAAACGGTGGCACCGTTTTCTGGTGCGTGCCGGACGGGAGAGGAACCGTCACGCGGTGGTTTCGTACACCGCTCGCGCCGGTTTCGTACACCGCTTGCGCCGTTTCAGGTCTGCGGCTCGGCTTGCGCTGGTTCAGGTCCACGCCTTGGCTCATGCTGGTTTGGTTATGTTGCTTGGCTCACGCCGGTTCGGGTGATCGGCTCAGCGCGAGCCGGACAGCCAGACAGCGCACCGGCTCGGCGTAAGCTGATCCAGTTAGCCGACGTGCCAGTCTACTGTGATGACGTCATGGTGATGACGTCAGCGCAGGATCTGATGACGCCATATCCATAAAATAATTTAGAATTATTACTTGAAGTAATATCTTACAAAAGTAGGCTCTCTAGTGGATATTGATTGTTTTCTAATGTATGAGATATTTTGTATGTGATTTTGTAGATACTAACTGGCCTAAAGAAAAGTTTAATATTTTACAAATTACATACATTTTTGATAATAAATATGTGATAACTATTTGATATTTTCATGTGAATAATAATTCAGTCCAAAGAAAGGCTTATTATTTGACAGAAATTTATTGTCAATATTTATTCATCACACCAAGATATTATTTGTAGTTAATATTGTTATCCAAAGATAAAATATTAATGTTGCACTCAATATCTTGTAGTAGAAAGCACCATTATTTGAAAATCAAATTAGTTTTGTGAAACTTTATATTATTCTTTGCACAATTTCAAGTTCTATTTCTATTGTTTCTATCTAGATAAACTCTATTCCTATGTTAAATAGCACTAACTTTAAGGCATGAAAAGAGAATGTTATGATAGTTCTCGATTGCATGAGTCTAGACATTGTATTAAAAGAAGATTGTTTTACAAACTTTTATGAGGATAAGAAAGATACATATAAGTGGAACCTGATCGAATCACATGACTCTTATGATCATGAAGTGTGCAATTCCAGAAACCTTCAAGGGCACTTTGTTTGAAGAGGCCACTATAACAAGAATTTTCCTTGATGAACTTGAGAAAATATTTACTAAGAATGATAAAGTCGAAACAAGTACGATCTTAACAAAACTTACCTCTATGAAGTATATAGGTAAGGAAAATATAAGAGAGTACATTCTTGAGATGTCTCATCTTGCATCATAAGTAAAGACACTAAAGTTAGAACTATTGAAAGATTTACTCGTGCATTTAATTTTGATTTCTCTTCCTATATAATTCAATCAATTTAAGATAAGCTATAATTATCAAAGGGACAAATTATCCTTAAATGAGCTCATATCACATTGTGTGTAAGAAGAAGAAAAGTTAAAATAAGATATAGACATGAGAGGACTTATTTGGCCATGACCTCTAAAAAAAAAAAACTAAGAAAAGGCTTATGGGTAATGAAGCTGCAGGTGGAACACCACTAAAGAAACAACAAATGAAGTAAGGTAAAAGAACTATTTGTTTCTTTTGCAAGGATGGTGGCCATATGAAGAAAGATTATACCAAGTATAATGCTTGGCATACAAAGAAGGGTGACCTTCTCACTTTACTTTGTTCAGAGGTTAATTTCACTTTTGTACCTTTGCACACATGGTGGATAGATTTTGGTGTTACAATTCACATAAATATGTCTATGTAGGGTTGCTTTCATTGTTTTTAGGTTATTTTTAAAAATTGATCACTATTTGGATTTGATTAAGACTTATATTATGTCATCTTTTATATAAAACTTAATTTCTATTTCTAATGTAGATAAATTTAGTTATAGTTGTCTATTTAGAAATAAGTTTTTTAATCTTTTTGATAATTCAAATCGTATTAGTATTGATGATTTATCAAGCCATGATGACCCATACTTACTTGACATAATAATTTCTTCTAATGAAATTCTACTGGTCAATCTTCATTATCATGATTTAATAATTAATAAGTAATATAGTTTTAGCCTTAACTCATGATAAATAAATTTATATTTATGTTAAATGGTAAAATATAGTTTTTAATTGATTAATGTAATTTTTTGACTAATTATGTGATTTTATATAATTTTTATAATCTTATTTTTAAGAAAAATAAATTAAAATAAAAAGATAGAAAAAAGAAAGGATCCCACTAACTAACTGAGCCTACAAATAAGTTGGAAGCATAGTGTGTGTCACTCCTCTTCCACATCATCAATGGTCAATTGATTGTAGGACAAAGAGTAATTATACACACACAAAAAAGAGACTCGTTACTTCTAAATGTAGTACTAGTATATGTCTCAACATTTGGTGTATAACTAATGTGAGACTAAATCAGTGGTCACACTTTTCTCGAAATATTTTGATAATTATAATACTTAGAATATCTCTTATTTATAACAATAAGATATTATGATGATGACACTTTATAAGAATATTTGAGTACTTATTCACTCTCTTTTATACAAGCGAGTGACTAGCACAGTTTGAATTTTACTAGAGCTAGAATTCGTATTTTTATTTAATTAAATCACAACTTTCTTAGAGATAGCTGATGAAGGATTAAGACGTCATAATTACTCGATCATCGGCAAAAATCTCGTCAACGCGATTTGTAGAGTATTATTACTAAAATTATTAAAGATTCATGATAAAAAGATCGCGAATCTATCGAGTAAATCATCTTCGATTGATCGACGAATAAGCCGTCATCGAGAAGAAGACGATCTACTAAGAGATGAGTCGCTATCTCTTGAGAGTATATCGATGCAATGAAGAGACTCCTCTTGTTATACGAACATGAGGATGAAACTCCCTAACACACCTCTCACCTCCATTTAATTCTTCTCTATCGAGTGACAACTATTGGAGAGCTATAAAAGTTGTCATTTTTTTGTTACATCAGGTGATAGTTGTCAAAGACGATTCAATGACCCATTTCATTGATCTCTAAACTCTCAAAAAATTCTAAGGATTACCCATGTCATCCTTATCTAAGGAGAGCCTTTGAGGCTATGGACACTACACGACAATCCTCTTGAATGTTCAGGATTCTAGTGTATTGTCGACGCATCTATGTCGTGACATCAGAACTCTATTTTATTATTTTTTAATTAGTTTAACTTCTACCGTTATTTTTTAGACTTCAAAAGGAGATCTAACAAATGCCTAAGTCGTTCATGTCTGAGAGTCTTTGAGATTGTGAACATCGCTCAATGACACTCCTGAACATATAGAATTCTAGTAATCATTGTTGTAAAGTCAAAACTATGCCTTTCATACTTTCAGATTAATTTTACCTTCATTTAATGATGATTTATGTGATTTAAAAATTTTAAATTACTCTTCATTCAATTATAATTATTTCGGCTTTTACAAATCTTAATTTTACTAATTAAATTATCTGTAATTACTTACGTAAG